CCCAAATCTCCTCTGGTGAAGAGTGTTGGCAGGAAGTAGTAGTCACATTGCAGGCCTATTGGATATGTTTTCAAAGGGGACAGCTGAAAACGCTTAATTTCCTGTGAGTTTTCGTCCAATCATGTTACGTATATCATCATAGTTCTGGTAACTTTCACAACCAGCTGTGACGCTCGTCTCAACAACACGAATGTTTATCACTGGTCGTAAAACACAGCCATCTTTAATAGAACTGTACGAACCGCATCTTCCATCGGTGCATATCTTAGTAAATATGCTGGATGAACTGAATGACTTCAAATGTTTTAGTAGTTCCCTATCTAGTCACAACTGAGTAAACTGACGAAACATGTGCGGGGATGTCACTTAACCCTGAATCCATCAGAGCAACGTCAAAAACGCGGTAAACATAAGGTTAAGTTCAGGTGATCAGTCGTCAGTCTACAGCATAAACGTGAATGTGACCTTAGCTAGCAAGTTAGCCGGTGAATTGTACGGTTATTCAAACCAGCAAACAAATAACAGTGAATACGCCTCTGTTCAGCGTGCACTTGAACTTACAGTACTAAGTTAACAGCTCCAATTTGAAGCCGCTTGACAGTAAAGAAATGATTGGTTCTTTAAACCTATCAATTAACTGAAAAGACTGAGGTCCAGGTAAGATCCTCTTCGTGGTCATGTGGTTTTGACGTTTTCCTATTAGTAGCGCAGTTTTAACTGATGGATCAAAGAATCGTTTGCCTTTTTTCACGATTACCATTTATGTGAAACCAAGTAATAGCATGGTATTCTCGCACTCTTTGCATACAAAACTCCCAGAAAAATCATTGTGGTAGCCGATGTACAACTAGATAATTTAGATCACTTTTTTGGAGTTTTTCTTCATCCTCTTGAAATTTCACTCTGTTATAAACTATGCTTGGTTTCGGAAAATTCCCATAATATCTAAAGTAACGATGTGACGAAGAACTGTTCTCGACAATTCTTTCTCAAGTCAATATAATTACATAGGTTTCATCCAGGCGTCATAAGACAAGGCGTAGAAAACAAGAAATGACTGCTCACAAGTGACAGTGAAGTCTAACATTAGACTACGCACACACTAATTGATTAGGCCCAGGCCGGACGTTACGTCACACGGTCAGGGTCGAATGTTTGTGTGTGGTTAGAGTGGATGTGATTGATCTGTGGCCACGGAAGTTGCATTCTGGCGCATTCTGACGACCGCCAAATCAATCGCTATTAGATTACACAACCCTAACCCGTGCTCTCAAAAGAAATTTGTTCAGTCCTTGCAACTTCATTGTCACTCGTGAACAGTCATTTCTTGTTTCCTACGCCTTGTCTTATGACGTCTCGATGAAACCTGTGTAATTGTATTGACTTGAGAAAGAATTATAGAAAACAATTGTTCGTCACATCGTTACTTTTGAACTATGCTTGACACGACAGTTGACTGATATGCCTACATCCAGTCAGCGTGGGTCAGTACTGTTCATGTCCGATCGCCAGGTTGAACAGGCCGCAGCCGCCACAGTATTAGGTAAGTATCATTGGGTTCTGCAGTACTCAATCCTTGTGTTTTAACGTTCTCCATTTCGTAAAAGAGACCTCCCACCTGGAGAGTTATTTATGAACAGTCATCCACTAAAAGATAAGGAAAACTAAACACCGGACACGAAAACTGTTTCGCGCGGCTGACGTCACTGCATGTGTTGTCGATAGCGCTGCTCCAGTTTTTTTCGCTGACATATCCAGCATTGTAAATATTCATGTTTCAGAACTTCATGTCCAACCATCTTCCTCTTTATATTGAGGACTGTTGTCAATTTTGGCATCCAGACCGTCAGATTTCGTATGCGCCACACTGTTAATCGGCGAGGTAGCTCGCTAAACAACACCGATAGCCGTAATCAGTGTCTACTTGCAATCCCAAGTGGACTGGGTTCATCCACAACAACTGAATGTAGACATATTAAGCATTAATCATCATATACCGAACGATGTTTGTAGAACTGACGAGTAGGGGGATATGAACTGCGGTTGATAACCCGAAGTGATATTGGCTCTCACCTCTTGAGAAGAAAACCGTTAGTGGGACATAGATTTGTAAGTGAGCCGTGTAAATACTACATTTTGTGTATACTGGAAGATTATATAAAACCGCTTGATACGGAAACAGTAATTATGAATCGAAGTAATGTTAGGTAACCATTGCTTTCGAAAGTGTGTGGCATTCCTGTGCCGTTGTTCCTATGAATTGTGGTCTACTGTTCCAAAACTACTGCAGTGCAAATAAAATGTGAGCCATGATGGCTTCGTCTAGATCACTTTCTAATCACCAGTTGCCAATTGTAGATTTTCAGTGTGACACGTCAGGCTATTGACGTTTTCATGATAATTCAGCACCGCTGATTTGGCATGCTTTGACTGGTACTAATTCCCTTCTGCCTCTACGTTGCATCGTTTAGTTGCGTGTATGTATGTCGCAAAATTGACTTGTCAAAAACAAAGCAGGGAATGAGATCGTTCAAGCACAGAACGACAATGCCAACACAAACGTTTACTTTGTCGAAGCACGTTACCATCATGATGACTAGTTTATAGTCCATGTGTGTTGCTTGCGGAAGTTGCAACGCTGTTCTCGCGAAGGGAGGTTCCTCAGAAGAGTAGTTAAGCATGATTGCTAGTTGCGCAAACGATTCAAAATCTGTTCATCTGTTCATGATATTCAGTTAAAGAGTGTTGCATAACTGAAGAATTCAGCTGCCAGATTCGTGCTACCTGCTTTAGTAAGGTAACACTTTTATCTGACAAGCGTTTAATGACATTAGAAATATGATTCTCCGGTTTACAATCCCACTATTCGTACAGTTATGTTATTTAGATAGCTCAACGCTTGCTTCAAACCAGCACATACAATCTGATTTGACTCTGAATGGCTTTATATATCGTTGACTTCTCTTTGACAGAAATTCATTCAATGTTTTTGGTAATCAAAATTCCAGGACAGACTTTTATACTTAAATAAAAAGATGTCTGAGAACTGGAAATATTGTTGTGTCAATGTAACAGGCATCTTGTCTCAGTAAAGTTACATACATTTCTGGATCACTTATTTAAATGTTTTTTGACATTTTTTAGATCAAACTCATTGGTGCTTGCTACTTACAGAGGTTAGGTTTAAAACAACAGGAATGATTTTGAAGTGACTTCGGTTCTAACGTAAGTTTGGCGAACGTATTGAGGTTCAGAAATGCCTTCTCACAGTTGAAATACGAATGTATTTCTTGTAAGTATGTAACTCTAATACTTGCTTCAGAAGGATTGGCATTTTAGGGAGATCGACTTTGTAGAAGTATAAGCTAAGCGATTATCCAATTGCGCCAGGCTCAGTCCTTGTTGACGTGGTAGTAATGCAGATATATTGAACCATAGTCAGTTTATGTGTGTTGATTAAGAGAACGCTGATCCGTAACTAGTTTTCATGCGCCACTATGATAATTTAAGTTCATTTATTGATCGCCTGGAAGTGTGCACTCTGTGTTTCAGACAAAACAACTTTCGAATATGAGGGAAGTAATTACAGCTACATTGGTTCAGCCACAAATGAAATTTGAGTGAAGACAATTTCTGGGTTGTGCAGAATCGTCTAGACTGCTACTTATTTTTATTTTATTTCAAACCGCATGCTGACATACTGAAGCCTCACCCAATATTATCATACTCTCTACATTTTGACTTTCTGGCTCCCGTCGTACAGTCTTGAACGAACGCCTTAAAAGATCTCGTTTCAACCGGCTTTTCTCTCTCCCGTGCCTTAGGCAGCCTACCAACTCCACGGTAGGATGGGACAATAGCAGCCATGTTGATGTTGAAAAGCGAAACACAAAGACATTACAGCTCGCGTATAATTAACTTTTCACAGCTCATCTCTTTTTGAACTCAGTGTGAACATTCTTCTCTGACGATTTTCGTTTTGTTCCTCTTAGGCTGTGTTCTTTTACATGATATGTTCCCCATAACCTTCCGGATCTTACTTTTTACGTTAATCGTTCTGTTCGATTTATAAGCATTTTATTTCGTTGTACCTATCGATTTACATCTAACTGCAACCACTATTTTTAAGGCGTTACTACAAGTTTAATTGACACTCCCTCGACTTACCATAAAACTACATTCTGTGAACGCCAAAGTGTATCCATTCAGTCGATTGACGAGCTTTTTATCTTTGATTTACGTTTTGTGACTGTTTCTGCAAAAACAATTTGCATTAACCTTTTGCTTCCTCCAGGCAAGTATCTCCAATCCATATGAAGTTCTAACAAGACTGAATCTCTCTACACTGACGGATGGAAGCGCGAATAAAGCAAATAACATCACCTTTTCTCCAGAAAATCAAGATTTTTCCCTTGTTCGTGATAGTGAATGACTATGTGGCCTGTTCTCAGCTCTACGAGCAAATTGTACTTCTTATGTAACTGGCATAGCCCGATGTGATAATCGTGTACAACTATGACAGCCATGTACAGGCGATTTTGTAATGAATCTGCAGGAGTACACTTAAACAATTAAGTTCCCAAATTTTTCAGTAAATATTCACTTAACTCAGTGACCAGATAATTAGGAAAACGAACAAATAAGTACATAAGTGAATTATTTACCAGAGAATTTAATGGGTAAATGATTAAGCAGGTGCGTAATTTGGTACGTCAGTAATTAATGTGATTTGATCTGGTTAAAAATGAAGACAAACTGTTAGCTGGATAACTGAGAAATTGAAAACTGAATATAACTTTGTAAATAATTAAGTGTCAGGAACGGCTCCAGACAAAATGATCTCAGTTGTGACACGTAACACGGCGCTCACCGACATTTCAAACAATTGTACGAGACAGGACATATGCATGAACAATACACTTTTGTCATGTCTCACTGCTGAGTCTTGTGCAATCAGTCGGGATACCTTGAGGTCGTATCAACTAGCGATACAACGGATGTGGCTCTCGGTGTGGGGCTTGAACCCACGACCCTGGGATCAATAATCCCATGCTCCACGAACTGAGCTAACCCGGCCGGCATTAGAAGTCCTGTACATGACAGACTGCAATGTGAACCTTCTTGGTATTGACCGGCTAGATAGTTTGAACTTATCAGATCGACCTATCGACCAGATTATTAAATTCACTCCTTTTCAAGTGTTAGAATTACGGAACTTATCCCAATCACCTCAACTTCGGCTAACTCCAGAAAAACCATGGTCACGTCTACATGTCGATTTTGCTGGCCACATAAACGGACAAATCTTCTTGATCGTGGTTGACGCCCTCAGCAAATGGCCAGAAGTTTTTGATATCCGAAACGACGACGACAACCACAATCCAACATTTGCGACGTTTGTTTTCGACGTTCGATGTCCCCTAGATGATTGTGTCAAATAATGGCACCCAATTCACTTCGCACCAATTCCGTGAGTTTTTCCGTCATTTTGGTATCACTTACATAACTGCTGCTTCTTTTCATCCCCACTCAAACGGTCAGGCGGAACGTTTTATCTGCACATTCAAGCGTGCACTCAATGAAGCCAGCGGGGAGGAAACGACCACTGGAATCCTTGAAACTTTCTCACTCAACTACAGATCTACACCCAATCCACAATGTCCTAATGGTTGCTTACCTGCTCCCTAGCGATACAACATTAAGTACGTAAACAGGTAAATAGGTAACTAAATAAGTAAACAAGCTAACTAGCTGGTAATCCAGTAATAAAATAATTTGACAAGTAACAAGAAGCGTAAGTAAATAAGTAAGTAGATACTTAATAAACAGCTGGTTGGATCAGTAAGTAAATGAGTACGTGTGTGTGAGTAAGTACATAGTAGAGCAAACCGATAATGACACTAAGTAAGTAAGTAAGTAAGTGAGTATGTAAGTAAATGTTTCATAAAATAGGCAAGTGAACAACTTCATTATTTTATCAACAAATTAATTGAATAAGCAATTTAGTAGGCCGTCTCAAATGTATTTTGGTAAATAAGTACGCTAGTTTGTTCGTTGGCTAGCTAGTTAGCTGGCAAGTGACAAGTTGAGCAATTCGGCAGTTCGCTACTTCCAAATTGTTGGTAGTATAACACTGTATTCAGGATTTTAAATTCATCCATTGCATTTAATGATTAAACACTTCGTTATGTCATTAATATATTATTATTATTATCATACCATTGACCGTGGAATTTTCTTTATTATTACTGAGTAAATGCGTTATAGTTAAAGAAGGATAAAGTGCAATAAACTTTGAAGTATATCAAGCTTACACCTGCCTGAATATATGTAGCGCACCACGGTCATGCTGGCACAGAAAGACCAAAGCTCTGGTTTCGTTTCTTGAGAAGGTTCATACAGGAGACGATAGTGACAGTTCATCTAATTCACCAGTGACGAGAGATGCGGTAGTCACCACTTCAAAGGTGTGGCTTCAGTCGCCTAAGCTCATCGTCACAGGGTAGGTGGCCTGGATAACCTCTACCCGGCAATTCCGTCTCTCGTTCAACGCTTTCACGAAACATACCTTCTCGCGTATTCTCTGGAAAGAAACTAGCGGACAAGCCGGAGGATCTAGAAATCTTTCGCACTGCAAGAAACAGGTGTGAGCGGGAAGTTTGTCAGAACACCCAACAGCTAGAGACAAAAATCTAACTAGTAGCTCGACGAGTGAACCTCTTATAACCACCCAGTTATTTCTATTCTGTTCAAGGAGGACCATTCTGCGGTCTAAATTGTGTTTCCAATAAACAAGCCCTCGACTTTCCGGCGAATAAACTTCTAATGCCCACTCTTGACAGCTGGCCTCTCTGTGCTTGATGTTCAGGATCTCTTATTTAATATCACTCTTTGTAATGCAACGAGACCAGATGCGATCCATCCTCAGATTTCCAAAAGAAGTGGCTCTTGGTCTGGACAGGCCTTTTCGTAATCTGTATAAACAGACACTTTGGATCAACGCTTTTCCGGAAACATGGAAAAATACCACTGTCACATGCAAATTTAAGGCAATCGACACCCTGTTGTTAAATTAGAAGCATATGGCATCTAGGCGGAGGTTCTCCGCTGGATTATATCCTGTCTTAATAAAAGAACTTTCAACGCGAAAACCGCATCGGATCTTTTTTCTTCCCTGATCTGCGTTACGGTTCCTCAGAGATCTACATTTGATCTGTTGTTGTTTCTGACATACATCAGTGACCTTCCGAACCATATTTCTAGCGACATTGTCCATTATGGCGATGAATTGAACATTTGAAATACGTGTGAACCTAAAATAGTACAGGCTTAGCTTGGCTGTGTTAAGTACTGGTCAGATGCTTTAGGTCTTCCTCTACACGACAGCAAGCATGCACATGTGTCGCCTGAAGAAGACGCCAGGGGCCTACTTGTGATATATAGTGTGTAGAGGGCGTCAGATGTTTTAAAGGTTGACCTTGAAAGTAACTTGGAGTTTTGACTATCGTCCAGTTTATTGTTCTGTCATTACCACCGTATTGCAGAGATTGTGAGATTCCGCAGCCGCGGCGCCGATGATCACCTCATCCCTGAGATCCGCTTACGAGATGTTAGAGTCATCCGGAGCGAGGGCGCGGCTTCTTCGGACTCTGGTAGCCCATGTTGTGGTGTTGTGTATTCTTTCGTTCCATTCACAAGTTTCAAATTAAACATGACGAATGGTACCGACAGTCACGTGTGATGAACGGAACTTACCGACAATTACCAGAAAGGACCCGTTGTGTGACAGAATAGCCGTTATCTATTCATGGTTGCATGTAAGTTAGTATTAAGGTAGTCTGCTACAACTACGCTGTGCCGACCAACCGATCATTACGGAAGGCAGAATGACTTCTGATCGGTGTCCTGTCGACCCTTTCGTTGTTCTTAACCTTAAACACAAATTCCAAAAAGCACATGCGCCACTCAACGGAACTGGGACTTTAGGGAGTAACTTTTCCTCGTCCGCCCCCGTTGTATTACAGCTTTTGTGGAATCTCGTCATAACCCCCACCAGATCACCCGGTGAACGTGAGGCCGATTATGTCGAGTGAAGGGACCATTTTCTCAGGGGTACTTTACCCTCTGGTACTTTACCCTCTGTTACTAAACTAGCAACAGTATCTTTGTTGTAGTAGAGATTTAAGTATTCGGAGTAGGTCGTTATGATACAGATGTAAAGTCCTGTTTGCCTAACTTATTTCAGCAGTTAGGTGTCATCTGACTGACACGGTCTTCTTAGCAAGTGTTCTTGCTGGTAGACGTTTTATAACGAGTTATGGTCATGGGAAATAGGGGATCTTTTTGGCACTTTGTCTATGACAGGGATGTAACTTTCGTTATTTCACTGACGTTAGGTTTATGACTGTATTTTCTACCTGGAGTGGCCCGGGGTTATCAAACCACTGGTGTAATTCCTTGCATCTATTGCTATCACATTCTCTGTAATCATTCAGTTACCAGTACTCTGTTGTGCCATGTGTTCTTAACAAAGATCACACTGTCATCTCGCTAGTTATCGTCCAACAGGCCGGGAACACATAGTACTGAACATTAAATGCGAGTGTTTCGTTCGTTCTTACCCCTGCCGTCTTTAAAGTAAAGTCGTTTAGTGTAAAATAGTCGCAAACTAGTTTTTTTAAGTTTACTTCAAAAATACAACAATAGTGGTCAGTTGAAAAAATGCATGTTTAATTCTATCACAGCTTCGCAGAATTGTTTGTTTGGCATAGATCATGTGGGCTATTTGTTTGTCTAAAGTACTTCTCTAACATCAAAATGAGAATTTTCCGTTAAAGCCAAGTACACCATGACTATCTGTCTATCGACGCTTATGACATTATAAAGTAGTTCGTTTCTGGGCTGTTTCCACATCCGAGAACCATATATCACACTTAAAGAACACACTGTGAAAAGAATGCGTACACAATAGAATGGAGTGCATTGAACATTTCTCACAGTCATGGTTTGACCGCGATTGTCATTTATTATTTTATAGTGGACGGTGTTATTTTTATAAGATCTTTTATTGTGTACAATGGTTTGTAGTTACTTGGTTCGCAAAATCTCTACCCAAATCACAGTTTTGGCAACGAACTTGCCGCATGTGCTTCAAAAGTATAACGTGCTTTGTCCGCTCTCTGTAACTTTCTTTGTTTCTGTGAATTGTGTTGACTACTGCTGACATAAAGCGCATGTTTATTTGTGTCTCGCGACAAAGTCAACCTCACCTCAACTGACCCGCAGCTTATTTGGTTGTTGCTTGTCTCCACGATGGTTGATCACCTGGGGGAATTTGTCTCATGATTTTAGTGGATATAACCTCAGGAGGTCGCAGTGGTTGATACCTCACAGAACTCACTTGTTTATTTATCCAAATGTTTTGTCGGACACTTCTTATTCTGTATTAAGTCCACTTCAGTTATTTTGCTTCTCATTTTCGCTGCTTAACCGGAAAACCAGAGTTTATTTTTGCAACGACATTTAACGTTACTTCTTCCACCATATTTTTTCTATTGTCATATCATCACACCATGAAGGATATGAACAGCGAAACCAAGAACACTATTTAGATGCGGTTGCCAACCTATTCCCCCTTAATTCTTAGGGCGTGTCTTTTCAAATCAGCCAAATGTTTGTGACAAAGCATATCACCTCGCGGTCTGCCAAATTTTGCATTCGATCTCGTTTCCACTCACTGATATGGTTGCAAGAGTGAAAGACGTTCGAACATATGCCCTCAGTAAACCCATAAGACGTCCAGTGAGCTTCAGTTATTTCAAGTACTGAATAGTCAGACACAAAACATGCCCAGGATATGTCTACTACCGTGGAGTATGGACGCCGAACGTACTGATAGCTGTTAATGTGTATCAGTAACCTGCTGGGTGGTAGTAAGCAGGAGAAGTGCATTTTAAGACAACTGCAGTTGAATTATCTCCCTTCACAAGTGTATCGGCATCCAACGGTTCTCACATAAGTAAGTACCCTAGAAAAGCTAGTGAGCTACGGGTACATAATAATGGACAGCTACCCTAC